GGCTGAAGACGAACGCCAAGGGAGCCGAGGCGTCCGATGTACTGCGCCAGAGGAGGAGCTGCGCAGGGCCCTGCGGCGCAAACTGGTCAGTTGTTCTCCCACTCTGTTCTCGTGCTCGGACCGGCAGGAGGAGCGGCGCAGGGCCCTGCGGCGCAAACTGGTCCGTTGTCCTCCCACTCTTGTATCATTGCTCAGCCCGCCAGGGGGAGAGCAGCTCCGGGCCGGCCAGCGCAGACTGGTCAGTTGTCTCCCACTCTGTCTCGTGCTTCAGCCAGCAGGAGGAGCAGCGCTAGGGCCCGGCCGGCGCAAAACTGGTCATTGGTCTCCCACTCGTCTCATGCTCAGCCAGCAGGAGGAGCAGTTGCAGGCCCTGCGGCGCAAGCTGGTCATTTGTCTCCCACTCTGTCTCGTGCTCAGGCGGCAGGAGGAGCAGCGCAGGGCCCTGCGGCGTAAACTAGTCATTTGTCTCCCACTCTGTCTCATGCTCAACCAGCAGGGGAGCAGCGCAGGGCCGGCAGCGCAGACTGGTCAGCTGTCTACCATTCTGTCTTACGCCCAGCCAGCAGGAGGGGCTGCGCAGGGCCCTGTGGCGCAAACTTGTCAGTTGTCTCCCGCTGTGTTTAATGCCCAGCCGGCTGACGAGTGTATGCCACAGTCAGCAGCAGCTCATTTGGCCGCTCAGCAGGGATGGACGTTTGGAGAGCGCGGTCTCAGTAGAGAAAACCGTTGAATATGCGCCACTGATACTTTTAGGCGGAGATATTAAGAAGATAAACCCATCATCGGTGTATATTTTATAGTTTATGGTATTTAATTGTGTTTAGACATTTCTACCTCCGAAATATCAGCTGCGGTTCTGATGACAGTAAACTGCAAGGCGCTAACTGGGCTGTATTGTCCGCCACAGATGATGCAAAAGCAGCTGAACTCGCTGTCCAAGAAGGTGGTCATCAAGGAGTGTCCAGCCTCCTCAGACAGCGGATCTGAGAGCACCATCTCGTCGTCAAGCAGCTCTGTGGAGGCGCCGGGCCCCGGCACGCGCCGCAAGTCGATTCTGGTCCAGGCAGCGCTACTGAAGCGGAGTCTGGAGACCAGCCTGTCCCGGCTTGGCTCCAATGGCTCTGTAGACCCTGGACAGATGGTGGGTATTATCGACGGCAGGGGTCAAAGTACTCACAAACGTGAAAATGCACTTGGATTTGTGCGATGCAGCGATGTAGTGTTAATGATAATTTTCCTTCAAGTGTTGGGAGGAACCGTTTTTCTAAAAAAATTCGTCTCCGTCAGCGTTTTGAAAGAGTTACCGGCCTTGATAAGTCACATTTTCCGAAAGTTTAGAAGGGGTGCCGCTTCCCCGCGCCCCTCTCCCGTCCCCGCACCTTTGCTCATGAGTACCGTCAGCCGTGTTGTTGCTGGATGCGTGTGGACTCTGTCGGACTGTTGTTTGATCAACTGCGTTGTTCTTCTGCGTTGCCCCGATAACCAGACTTTGACGACTTCACCGACTTGGTGTCCTGATCGGAGTCACGATAATGAGCGAAAGAATATTCCTGTAACAACACCAGTCTGAAGTCGAGACAGGTGGCGTGACGCGGGAGCGGATCTCAGAGAGAAAGTCCGTGAACTGGCCCGGTTTCCAAACTAAAGCCGAGCCAGACCAGACCAGACCGGACCGGACCAGATCAGATCAGACCAGATCAGATCAGATCAGATCAGATCAGATCAGATCAGATCAGATCAGATCAGATCAGATCAGATCAGATCAGACCAGACCAGACCAGGCCAGACCAGGCCAGACCAGGCCAATCAAGCCAGGTCAGACCCGACCGGGCCAGACCGGATCCCACCACACCACACAACACCCCACCACACCGCATCACACCGCACTACCCCACACCGGACCGGACCGGACAAGACCGGACCGGACCTTACCCAAACCAGCACACTGACGTATAATCTAATGAAGACGCTCTGTTCCGCGTGGCCAGTAACCGCCGGCCGCCTGTGGCAGGGCTCGTCGGGGCGGCCGAGCATGGTGCCGCCGGCGGGGCCGGGACCGCGCGGTCGCGAGGCGCCTTCGGGTTCGGGGCAGGCAGACCCGGCGCTGTCGCTGGACGCCGGCCGCCTGCTCACCGTCAGCGAGGAGGCCGGCTACGAGAACGCCGGCTTCGAGCCGCGGCGCCGCCGGTCGCGGCACTGAACAGCCGGCCTGGCGGCGGTCATGAGGCGGGCCGCGTGTTCAGGGACGAGTCACGAACGGACCAGGCAGCCTGAGAGTGGCCAGGAGTGGACCGTGCGGCCCGGGAGGGGTCACGAGTGGAGTGGACGTCCAGGACAGGTCACGAGAAGGACCAGGTGTTCAAAGACGCACTACGAAACGGGACAAGTGTCCAAAGAGAGATCGCAAGGTCGACTGTGTGTCCTAGGAGTGATGACGAATGGATCGGGCGCAGGACGGGTTGGGGAAGTCACGAGACGGACTGGGTATCCAGGAGGGCTCGCGAACAGCGATTCAGTGAGGGTGTTGGAATGGACCAAGAGTCCCTGGGGAGTTTACTTGCGGGAAGACCCCCAGAAAGGAGTCACAAGGCGGGCAGAATATCCAGACCGGTTGGCTTATTCTGAGCTGAGCAGATGCCCTCCAGGGAGGTCTGGACATTGTCCCCATTGAAAGCAGAGGTCACGACGTCAACTGATTGCTCAGACAGCAGTGGCTGCACGTCGTTACTAACATGCGAGCGGCAATGGCAAGGGCATTGCAGGCATTTGCATGCGGATGTGTGCGAGTCTCTGTGTGTGTTCATATTCGCGGTGGATCGACCACCGTCCTGTGATCGCCCACAGCTGCTCTCGTCGGGGGCAGCGTGTTTCCACAGTGGTGGACGAATCGTTCGGACGCAGTCATGACACCAGCTGTTTGGAAGGCGCAGTGTACTCTGAGGCGTCTCAGATTCAGCTGCGTGTTTGCCTTAAATTGTGTGATGTTATGTGATTCTGCTAGGTTCACCACAAATGTGGCAAGGCAGTGACGAGTTACAGTTCTAAGGTGTCTTGTTGGTGTTGATTTTATTAAAGAATATGTGGTTAGTGATTTGTTCCAGCTATACACTGCAGTGTGTAGCAGACATACGTGTGACCAATGTCGACCGCGCTCGAGATGATCGCTGCCGAATGTAGGCTAGTAATTGTAGTGATGTTTTAGATTTCGTGGGATATGCTGTGCTATTGTTTGCTCCCCGTGAATTTGAGAGAGTCTGGCAGGTTTAGTCTCTGGGTCACCGGGACCTTAGGACCTGGACGCAGTGCCCTGCATTGTGTGGGGCACCGGCGCGTCAACAAGCAACTGCTCCTGCGTGCAGCCGCCAGAGCTTGAGCAGTAGCTTTTGGAAACGATCGCAACATTCCATTTTGCCCGTACTGTTGACATCTGGAGCTCCGTTCCTACGCAATATGTCACGCAGCTGCGAACCTTAGATGTGTATGTTTCTGACCCGAACGTGATATAGTCGACTGTGAACTTAAACGATTGACTTCCAGATGGGGCGTATGTGTTACGATACGAAGTGTTAGCTCGTCTAGACCACCATACATGCAAAAAAAACACGACTACAATGTGAGCTCTAAATAAAGGTCAACTCAACACGCAAGTCGCCGCCTCTCGGTTTCGTGTGTACGCGCAGATCCGTACAGCGCTGCGTAGCGCGTTTCGTTTTCCGGGCATCATTTGTGTCGCCACGTGTTTGTTTTTAACTTATGCGCGCGTGAGAACTTGCGCAAAACGCGGATATCGACATGAAGAGACAGACTGAGTGCACGTTTGCTAACAGCGATGCTTTCCAGATACAGAGCCTAGCGTCTTCGTACATTGCACAAACAATGTACGAAGAGCATGATTTGCTTTGCACGTGAACATGACTTGCTTTGCGCGATGCTTGACTACATGTACCGGCATTGGGTCTAAAGTGCAGAGGTTAGTTACTGGTGACCACTTTCAAGCACTTGACTCATTTGGATTCTGTCGCAAGCCTCACTCCTTGGTCCCGAGAACGAACGTTGTCGCAAGAAATCACCAATCCATTGCGATCACATTCCTCGACACGTGCAGTTGTATGGGCCGAGGGCGCCGTGATGACAGATGGACATTATGCAGCGCAGGTCACGGCGGGGGGGGGGGGTATTGGTGGGGCGTAATGGAAGCGTAACAAGGTGGGAAGGGGAGGTTTTGGGCTGTGGAACGTTACGCTTAGATGTGGCTGCAAATTAAGCCAAATCTTGAAAACAAATGAAGACCCAAAAACCGGATATCACTGACTTCTTCTTATGACGAGAAGGACGCTCGTTGATTTGTGTCGAATTTCCAGCTAAACCAGCAGTCGTGTGGACATTACTTTTTGGGCTGTTACGCTTAACACAGCGTAACCAGGGGGAGGGGTGCTCGGTATAAGCAGCGCGCAACCAACGGAAGAGGGAGGGTTGAAACATGACCAAAAATGCATAATGCAATTGATAGACATCCCTTACCTCACACATGAAGGAGACTGGAGACGTAAACCGGTGACTGAAGAACATTGCCTTGTAAGTCTTTTGATAGGCCTAAGTTGTGTGCGCTTCCCTGATTTTGAACAGACGTGTGAGAATAATGTTGGCATGACGCTAACGTCTTCCTTGCCAGAGGCCCGCAGAAACCATTTGTGGAGGAGCAGACGGAGATTCGTGGAGTGCCTCCAACGTAAACGGGAGACTGCTCATGTGACAGGAACATCCCAATACAATAAGGCACTGCTAACTAATAACATAGAACTTCGTTAGGCACGCATACACGCGAGCGGACTCGCGGCGAATCGAAGAGCTCCGAGAGGAGAGCAGGTTTTGCAGTGAGCGTGTGCTCACAGGCATCACTCAGTAAAAAGGCATGTGCTTTGACTGCAACCTGACGTTTTTCGCTCCTCTGTTGCTAAAACATGCCGCGCGGTGGCAAAATACCTTCACTATGCCTGTAGCTACGGACGGCACATCCGGACTTGAATGGAGAGCGACTGTAAAATGTCTGCCCCAGCAAAGCGAAAATGCCAAGGAAATTTCCCACCGCTGGTAAACGGGTATACGGAAATGGCTCTTCGTTTCTACACGGCAGCTAAGAGGTCCACCGATTTTGCTTGATGGTCACTTAAAGATAATGATCGGTCAGGGCGATGTTTCTGAGGCCACAATACTCAGTCAGATATATTTATACATAATCAGATGCATCCATACACAATCAGAACGATCGCAACAGAGCTCCGCAGGCAATTTAGCTGAAGACCATTACCCGTGATGATCTTCACGTGGCGTCTGCCCGTTGGTTGCCTCGAAACTTGAGCCGACAAGACCCGCGTAAGTGGGATGTACTGAGTAAGGAGCTGTTTGCTGCTTACAGAGCTGGCCCTGCAACCTTTTTCGCGTGTGTTGACAGTGAATGGGGCGTGGCTTCAACGCTGGCCCCGTATCAGAGCGCGGGAGCATGTGCTGTAGCACAAGGGGTCCGCCACACTCCGAAGCATTTCGCACCTTCCACCAAGCCCTCTACAGGCAAAGCGTTGGCGGCGAACATTTCATTCTCGGATGACTGTGGTATCATTATGATCAACTGCATACCAAACAAAAGAACGAGCACATGAGATTACAACGTCAGCTTAATAGTGCAGCTGACGGATGGTGTGAAAAAGAAGAAGCGAGGCAAGCTGACAAAGGTGTCACACCTCCTGACGAGAGCCCATCTGTCTGGAAGACCCGAGACGTGTAGGCAGCCGCTCGCGAAGGCCGCTTTAGGCGGCTGCATCTCCCAGCCGATAGTCCGGAGCTGACCGCACGAAACGCCTACCTGTTTTGGCTTCTGAAGTGACAGCTGCAGGGCACCGGTGGTGAGTTTATGTGCAGCTGAGGCAGAGTGGATAGACCATCGGAGCTGTGACACATGGATGGAGCGTCAGTCAAATGAGCTTAGCCCCAGAGCCATCGGGAGTATCAAGGGTAAATCGGAGAAATATTTCGCTTTCAATGGCGACTATGCTGAAAAATAAAACATTCTTCTCTGCTATGTAACCAGTTTTATAAGGAAGAAGGGGGCGAGAGAGGAGAGAGCGAGAGAGAGAGAGAGAGCGAGAGAGAGAGAGACGAGAGAGAGGAGAGAGAGAGAGAGAGAGAGAGAGAGAGAGAGAGAGAGCAGAGAGAGAGAGAGAGAGAGAGAGCGAGAGAGAGAGAGAGAGAGAGAGAGAGGAGAGAGAGGAGAGAGAGGAGAGAGAGAGAGAGAAGTTCATTTGTGGCCTAGGGAGTAACTTCCCAAGCTTTTGCTTCAAATCCGGTTGCATAAAGTAAGGGGTAACTAAGTATTCCCACGTCCGTTGAACTCGGCTATTTGCAGGAACATCTGAAGCAAGAAATTACTCCTTGCTTCACCAGGCATCCATCGGGTTTCATAAACACGTCTGGTTTGGCTATGGAGTAGGATTTACTCCGAAACTGAAGTAAAATAAGGAGATGCTCTGGCCAACCGTAAAGTGAGCAGAGGTGATCACAGCTAAACTGGCGCATGGCTATGCATGAGTAGAAGGAACGGGCCTTTAAACCGAAAATCAGCCCGTAGCGAGAAATTGTTATGTTGAAACCATAAAACAATGTCAACATATCAAGGGCGCACGAGTACGCATGTGTGAGAAAATTAATACAGCTGCAGTTCGTATAGTAACTTTGTAGGCATCACGAACATGTACCAAGAACAGTGGTGGACAAAGCTAGCAGGCTCTTATGAAAATCAATCTCTTCCCACATGCCACAGATTTCACGAGATCGTGTTTTTCTTTCTAGCTATGACACGGAAGAATATGAGATAAATTCACAAAACACAAAATCTAGAGTAAGGACAAACTCAGCTATTTCAGGAAACTGTTGTCGCTAAGGTGCATATTGCCTTCATACGTAGCACAGAGAAGCTCTGAGTATGAATACTTGAACCAAACAGCTTTGCTTATTTATGCGAGTAGCGGAACAATGCCGAGTATTATAAGATGTCTGCACTTCAGCGAATTTTAAAAAATCGCAATTGGTCTATATATTGATTGTAACACAAGTCACAAGTACATTACTGAGTCAACCCAAAAATGACCACACTTTTTTGTTACCTTGGCAATATTTCTGAATTTATTGTAGTCATCTTAACCTTTCGGGTCCTGAGCAACAACATCCTTGCGAACGACCGCTTGTATCGTTATTGAAATTGCTTCAGCCTCGGCGTTTTACGATTCCTTTGATGATGATGATGATGATTGGGGGTTTTGGGGCTCATCGACTGCTGAAGGTCATGCAGCGCCCATTACGATTTCTTTAAGAGACGTGGTGTCAGGTTTATGAAGCCGGCGTAAGAAGTGATGAGTTACGTCGAAATCACTTCGGCTAGCCCGAAGTAAGTAGTTACTGTCGTTATGAGACTGTTCAGTGGACGTTTCCTGTTTGTCTCGTTCTGCATACCTTTTAATCAGCCAATGTATCTTCTAGTAACATCGGCGGTGGCGAAGTTAATGGAAGCTACATGGAACATCTCGTCTTAATTCTATAGAAATGGAGCCGCAAGAAGAGTTAAGACCCATCGCTTTGCAGCTTCTTCAGTAATACATGGTGAACAAAGGCGTGAACAACCAGCCATTGGTCAACCGACTCGCTCCGCTGCTTACTCCCAACGGCGGATGAGGATGCCAGATAGCCATTTGGAATGTTTTAGTGCCTGAAGATAACTTCGGACCGTCTGAGTGTTTGTTTGTTTTGTTTCTTTGCTTGTTGTATGTTGTCCAGCACGGGATAAAAAATAAACTTCTTCTTGGTTGCTCTCATGAATAGTGAGCTTTCCAAAACATTGCTAAATTTGAATGGTATGGATTGCGAAAGATGTCTGACCCTTCTGGCCTAACTTTAAGGGCCATCTACGTGATAACAAATGAAGCCTCCCACCTCTGTGATGCCCCCTCCCCGTCCCGCACCGCACTAAGCAACCTTGCGGTTCGATGGGTGTATGGTTCAATTCACTCACGCTTTGATGTCATTTACATGACGGCAAGGGTCCGCCTGTAATTACTTGAAACATTTGCGGGACCACTTTAATACCCAAACCCTAGCTATGCACCCGTTACGCTGGACAGGCCATCCTTTCCTTTGGTTACGTAATTACGCTGTGTCACGGACAGCGTTCCGACCGCGTCTGTTTAGCGCCACATTGAGCTAGAGGTGCGAAGCAAAGGCGGGTTTGTTCTTCGTCCTGACAGTGGCATTTGGCTTAAAGGTTTTAGAACATTTAACTAAGACTTAGCATCACATGCAACCATACCTGATCGCTATGCTGCGCTGGCCACATTCACTAATGACGTTGCGAATGCACGCCATCAAAACCCATCCTTCCTATTCATGCGTAACGTCACGCTGTCCAGAGCCTTACTCTTGTTACCCTGTGGTCACGCTCCATCCCCTCACCTCTCCACGCGTGACGTCATATATGGACAGCCCCAGGTTTGTTTTCACCCTTTAGACTGTTTTCGTGATCTTACAAGTGAGGTGCGAAGGTTCCAAGGTGCGAAGGCAGCGGTAAGCAGCGGGAGGCGGCGGTGCGCTCGGCGGTGTCAGGCACCCGAGCGGGAGGCGAGAGGAGCGCAGACGGAGCACGTTCGCGCGCATACCCGGAGCGCTTTGGAGGGGTGGCAGTGGGATCGGTTCCGAACACGCACCGTCACCAGCCATGTTGTCCGCCGGCCGGGGCGGCGGCAGAGCTCCGCGCCGTGTTCGCCGCGGACCGGCGGCGCGGGCACGGCGCAGGTCGGGAACCACGCGCGGGCGGCACCACCTGATAGCGCCCAGTCATTGCACTGACTTCAGCGGAGCTTCGCATCACGTGGCGGGCCCGCGGGAGCTCACGCTTACGGAACACTAAAGGACATCACAGATACAATGTCTGTATATATCACGCGCTGTGTGCCGATAGGATCGTACGCGTCCTTTCAGAAGCGTTCGCAGGATTTTGCAATGAACCGCTCAGAACTGTTCGCTAAAAACCGAGTTTAGCGCGCCGCAGTTGCACCTAACTTCATGCGTGTTTTAAGTAACATCGCGTGTTGTCGATCTCATTCATTTGTACCTGACATTTTTCGCAGTCATTGAGTCAGGTGCACATTGTTATGTGGCACATACTAGGTAAGGGTGCGGTCATGTGCCATGAGCGCACATGAGTCATGTACCATGAGCACATTCCCCTGCACCAGTTCGACCTATCTTGTTTATATTTCGGGAACGTTTGGCTTTAACAACCACCCACTTGTATGGGTATCCTGCACTGGTGTGTAAGATATCATGCAATGCAATATGACGTCCAAAGTTCCCGTGTGGTGCTGTTGGCGCGCGGGGCCGGAGACTAGGTAGCTCTCGCAGGCTCTGATTCAAACATGTGCAGTATATTGACCACCTCAGTGATCACACCTCATGACAGGCCTGGGGCTGGGGACTACCTCGGCTCGTCGCCCGTACTATCTTGGCCGCAGGACCGCTCCCTCTGCCCGCTGACAGACGCCTGTATGACGCCTTGCGGGCGTCAGTCAGCGCCTGTGTGACGTCATGCGGGCGTCAGTCAGCGCCTGTCATACAGAATGTGACATGGCCAGAGACAGCAGGGCATTGGGTGACTCCGGTACTACGCCTGGGCTCTTCAGTGTCGGCGGCG